AAAACAAAAGCGTAATTCGCGCTTGACTTAAGTAAATTTAACAAGTCATGGGCGATAAAGTTGGAAAAATGTGGATTTAAGGCGTAAAAAAGCGCAAAATACTTGTTTGACTGAAAGTGGAAGAATTCATGCGAGTTGTATTGCCAGAAACCATCTGAATTTTAAAGATCACTCCTTTTATTCTTGATATATTTAGACTTATCTTTCCTATGCAGTTTACATCAAGATGTTATCCCTCCTGCCAATAGAATTTTTTTTCTCAGGTTTGATTTTTAGTAAATTGCAAGCTCACCTTGGAGATTCGATAAACCCTAGTGCAGACTGATTAGGCGATAGGATATTCTCGGATGGTGTACCGGTTATAATCACTTCATTAGAGACAGCAGTGATGGTAAATGGAAATAAACTCTGAAATCTCATGTCATGAGTTTCCTACATAATGGACATTGAACGCCGAGTCTCACCCCAATATAAGTGTCAAGTGTTGAGTTAGAGTCAATGTTCCACATAGTCATTGTTAGCACCATCGAATTGCCTGTGCTGTTCACTTCAGATCTAAAGCGATTGTGGTTTAATTTTCGTAAAAATTTGGTAAATAAAGGCTGCGCGAAAAGTTTTAGCATACATGCATTTTGGCATAGACGCATTTCGGAATGGGTCTTATGGATTCGATAGGATATGATTTTGAGAAAAGTGGACAAAAACGGCGATGAGAGTCTTGAAAGCATCAAAACTTTTTGGTATTCGACCGAAAATTACTAACTGTACGTAAAAGTGCGTACCTTCTTGGAAAATCCCATATGGAAGACTTTTGGTAGATGGAGTCAAGAGCAGTGTCAGCTCGTTCCTCTATAAACCTTAGATCAAAGCAGGGATCTTCAAGAGACTCATAGCAACTCGGCATCTGCAATAAAAATTATGCCTTGATTTTCTCGAAATTGAAAATTTATGACTCGCTTCAATCATAAAAAACCCATCAATTTTGCAATGAAAACTATTTAAAATCTTGAGACTGGAATCCTTATGATAAACCCATTATTTTTGCTCTATAAAATTTTTTGGAATTAG